TAAAGAATGTGCGAGATTTCACAAGATTCTTGCTACAAAGCTGGCAGCCAAATTTGGCAAACCATACTCAATAACTATGTCTTGGCTACGTACGAAACTCTCTTTTTGTCTGCTGAGATCTTCCCTTCTATGTTTGAGGGGCACTAGAGTTCCTTTTTATATGAATAATACTAGTTTGTTTGACACTTTGTACTAACTTGAACCTTTTTAAACGAATTGCTTTAATGGATTTTATATATTTTTAATGTATCTAGCTATGCTCATTCTATGAATAAATCTTTTCAGTATTTGCAGATAAGTTGTTCATCAGTTCTAACCTGGTGTACTCAGGTGAATATGATTATTGACAAGATGCATTCGCACTACACACGTAAAAATCTCACATTTTGTAGCAAGTTTGCCAACAAGCCGTCAACAAGCTGTGTTCGCACTGCTTGTCACAAGTTGTCAACAAGTTTGGAACAAGCTGTTAACAACTTGTAACAACCTTGTTGATATTATCAGACTTGTTGCAAGGTTGTCCCAACAAGTCCGATACAGTCATGATATAGCAATATTGTTACAACCTTGTGTCGTCAAACTTGTAACATTCTTGTTATATCATAACTGTATCAGACTTGTTAGAACAACATTGTAACAAGTCTGGTAACGCCATCAAGCTTGTTACAAGTTGTTAACATCTTGTTCCAAACTTGTTACAACAACTGGGAACAAGCAGTGCGAACACAACTTGTTGACAGCTTGTGAACAGATTTGTAACAACTTGTTTGCAGACCTGTAACAACTTGTACGTTTTTACGTGTGTACTTGTCACAAGTTGTCAAGACAACAAATATCATGATTATTAGATTACACTGACATCGAAGGAACTAGAATCAGTTCCGAAATATCGCATCTCGAACCGACCTGAACGCGTAGCTCAGTTGGCAGAGCATTGGGCTAGTATTCCAAAGGTCGTAGGTTCGATTCGCACCGTGGCCAGCCATATTTTTCGGGCCTGCCCGGTGTGGATACGCACTCAGAGTAACAGCACAAGCATCTTATTCACCTGAGTACACTGCACCAACACAACAAATATAAAAAAAAAACTAAAAAAAAGTTTGCAACAAAGTGAACAAACTTGGAACAACCAGTGCGAACACAATTTGTTGACAGCTTGTGAACAGACTTGTAACAACTTGTTTGCAGACTTGTTACAAGCTGTGCGTTTTTACGTTTGTACCTGTACCTGTACCTGTACCTGTACCTGTACCTGTACCTGTACTTCGGTCACAGAGATGAAATACACGTGCACTAGCAACTTTATCTTTACCTCAGGTAATGCTCTGCCTGGAGACGTTGTAGTGTTTCTGTCCCACAGTGGTAATACGAAGGAATGTTTAGAGGTCGCGAGGCACCTCAAGAAAAGAGACGTTCCTGTCTTAGCCATCGTTGGAAAAAATGGTAACCTAAACCAAACTAACTTTATTTACACTGGATAACTCTATCAGTTCTAAACTGTTGTCTCGAAAGATCCAGTAACGGCCACCCTTTATTGATCTGGTCTTGCTGATGCCGGAGGAAACCTAAACTAAACTAACTTTATACTGGATAGCTCTATCAGTTCTGAACTGTTCTCCCTAGAGGTCCAGTAAGAGTCATCTGTTATTGATTCAGTGTTACTACAGGAGGAAACCTAAACTGAACTAACTTTATTTATACTGGATAGCTCTATCAGTTCTAAACTGTTCTTCCTAGAGGTCCAGTAAGGATCATCTCTTATTGATCCAGTGTTACTACAGGAGGAAACCTAAACTAAACTAACTTTATTTATACTGGATAACTCTATCAGTTCTAAACTGTTCTTCCCAGAAGTCTGGTAATGGCAGATGGAAACAAGTTACTTAATGTATGCTTCTCATTCTAGATTGTTTTCTCAGAGATTGTAGCGATGCCCTACTGTCCTATGACACTGGAGACGATATCAAAGAAACTCTTTCTGTGGTTCCATCAAGAAGTGTTGTACTGCAAGTGAGCATTTATGGATAGGCATGAGGATAGCCTTATCATTTCTAAGTAATTGTTCCCTCCGGAAGTCCAGTTAGGATTATATTCTTGTCGATTCCAAGTCACTTTTCACGTTTCCAAGTTCGGAAACTGGGCGCGAATTCGTAACAAAGTTCGCGAGTTCATTTGAATCATTCAATGTTTGCACTTTGTTTGTAAAACAAATGTTATATAATAATAACCAATTCAATGAAATACAAACATTCTTGGTAGACCACTGGAGTAATTTCAACGTGAACTATGAACATATGTTTACAACAGAAGTTCAAACATTGAAATGAACTTACGAACTTTTTTGCGAAGGTCACGTCTAATTTCCAAACTTGGAAACATAATTGGCAAGTTTGCAACGAACTTGGGACCCGCTCGTTGAAAAATGACTTGAAATTGACAATGAAAGTCTATTGTTACTGTAGGAGGAAATACGAATACCAGAAGAAATCCAGTCGTGTTTAGTACAGTCGAAATGGAAGCACTCCTCCACTTAAAAATAATCAGACAATTGCATATTGCAGGAATCAGCTCTGTCACAGAAATGAAGAGCAGACAACCGCTGCACCCCAAGAAGTAAAACTGATTTTATTATTTTTCTTAGGAAATATTGATTAATGGGGTGGTGAGCGAACTGATAAGGCGTCGCAAGTTTAATTTAATAAATTTTGCAAAATCTCATCCGGGTGGATCGCTTGGAGAACAATTATCCGAATAGATGAACGCTTGTAGATAGCTCGCAATATTGTATTGCCAAATTAATTCAAAATTAATTATTGAAATAATGAAGAAATAGTTATTTATAATCACTTTATTATTACCTAATGCTGCTTGGGTTTAACTAGTGAGAAAATGTTAATTCATCTCATTAAAAAATTGGTGGCAATTGGCAAATAAAATTGAGAGATGCAGATTAAATTTCTTGCTGAAACAAACTGTCAATGACTTTCATTTCCATAGCCTGCTCACAGGACACACGTTAAAACGCACAAGTTGTAACAAATCTACAGCAGACTAATTGTAGCAATGCTGTTCCAACAACTTGTCAACAGGATGTGTTCGCACTGCTTGTTCCCAGCTTGTTGAAAAGTTGTCAGCGACTTGTTGACAACATACTGCAAGGTTGTTGAGCTCAACATACTTGTTACAAGTTGTTCTAACAACTTGCTATCGTCCTGCAATTCAACAATTTGTCAACAGGTTGTGAGTGACAACCTTGTAGCAACTTGATAAAATGATAGCATTGTTACAACTTGTTGACAAGCTTGCTACAAGCCTGTTGCGAACATCTTCACGCGTAATAGCGCACAAGTTGTTACAGGTCTGTTCACAAGTTGTCAACAAGTTGTGTTCGCACTGCTTGTTCCCAGTTGCTGTACATAACAAATTTGTAACAAGCTGTTAACAACTTGTAACAAGCTTGATGGCATTTTCAGACTTGTTACAAGGTTGATCCAACAAGTCTGCAACAGTCTTGATATAGCAATATTGTTACAACCTTATGTCGTCAACCTTGCAACAATCTTGTTATATCATGACTGTATCAGACTTGTCAGAACAACCTAATTGTAACAAGTCTGATAATGCCATCAAGCTTGTTACAAGTTGTTAACAGCTTGTTGCAAACTTGTTACAACAACTTGGAACAAGCAGCTGCGAACACAACTTGTCAACAGCTTGTGAACAGATTTGTAACAACTTGTTTGCAGACCTGTAACAACTTGTGCGTTTTTACGTATATATGCGCGCGCGAATTTTAATTACAAGGATCCACTATAATTTGCTTACATGAAATCGTAATATTATTGAAAAGTCAAAACCACTCAAAGATGGCGGCAAACACGAGTGAACGAAAATTACAAAAAGAACTAGATTTCACTTCCCCTTCGTTCAACGCATTGAAAGCTTTGTACAGCAAACACCTTCAGCCTCCTGTAGCAAGTGCACATATATTTAACAACATAAACGAATACGCGAAGTCACTGAAAACTGGGAAAAATGAGCCGAAACAAACGGGAGAAGGTGACCTTGCAGACAGGTTGAAAAATATTGCAGAGAATAAGTTGAATAAGCTTCGTAATAGGAAGCGAGATCCTAGCAAATTGGAGCATTTGATGAAAGTAAAAAGCCAGACTGATGGCATTGTGGAAAAAGTCGCCATGTTGGAGAAAACCAAAAAGAAGGGTCAACAAATGAATGTCTTGGAGAGAATGGAAGGTAGGTATTAATTATTAAAACTGGGTATTAATTATTAAAATTTGTTGGTATTAATTATTAAAACTCTATATGATAGATATTTATACAAAGTGTCTGTAGAACCAGCTATTTAGTAAACTGGGTTATATAGTGACTACAGTTAAAGTTGAATACAAGGTAAACCAATCCAAACCCTTCTGTAACCCCTAACCTAATCTTTTGAGAGTTAGAAAAGGTGGGGAAAAAAGTTTAAAAAATTTTGAGAAAAAAAATCTGCTAAGTCAGACAAAACCTGACCCAGATTGCATTTCACTTTACACATGCAACACATTTACTGTATACGCTAATGGTAAGCTAGGTAAAAACTAGTGCAAACCAAAGTTTTTATATTTTTAAAACTATAGTCGCTATATAGCTGGCAGTTTACTAAATAGCCACCTGCTGGTTGAATAGACACTTTGATATTTATGAGAGAGGAATCTTTTGTATGTTTAATATGTAATACACGCTTAAACTAATGCACTAGTCAGTTGAAACCCCGACCCCCGGACAGGGCAGGAAATTAACAGAGGAATGGCTGTGGATTAACACGGTTTTAATGCACCATTTCCCGCTGGGGTACAGGGTAAATGACAAGTCAATTTATTAGCTGGGACTTTAACACGTGGCTGATATGAAAGTGGACTGGAACGAGTTTATCCTCGTGGCAACATGGTGGAATCTTCGAAATCAGAGAATTGTTTCCTTAAAGTTTTTCTTAAAAAAAAGGGAATGCCAATAGATTTTCACTTTTTATATATTCCTGATGATGATTGCAAGATACTCGAAACATAGATTATTCAGTATCTTTTGATGCAGAACAAAGTTTAAGATCAAGAATTGCCTTCATATGTTTGAACATATTTTTATATACTTCAACAATTTCCCATTTCCCAAGTTATGAAAATTTGCAAGTGCTGGGGCCATAGGGGCGGTAACTTTAACAGTCAATATTCCCCTGGTAGCGGGGAAATTACCAAGCTTTAACATTGTCAAGATGTTAATTTCACCGCCCTATCCCAGAGGTCGGGGGGCCGGGGTTTCAATTGACTAGTGCGTAATGAATATACTTTTCCACTTGATTATTAACACGTTTCTCAAGCGGCAAACAAACTGTAACTTAAAAGTATGTTTAGTGCTTTATCTGTAAACTGATGCCAAAATGAAGAGATTTTAGATGGCATGGTGGTCAAACTGGAAGAACTGAAGCCACATGTGATTGAGCTCAATATATAGAGAATACTACATGGTTGCTTGGAAATATGGAATTTATTTCTCATGTTGAAGAGAATATTGGTCACAAGTGAGCGCAAGACCAATATTCTCTTCAACACGAGAAATAAATTCCATATTTCCAAGCAACCATGTAATATTGTGTTTATTATATAAACAAATTATTATTGTAAACAAACGACAATTAATCATATACTGAAACTCAAAACAAATATGTAAATAGTGATCCAGTTACAAATATATACAATGTTCAATTAAAAAATGCTGTCATTGTCTCCTTTAAAAGCATATCAAAGTGCAGAAATGTACGTATATAAAATTAGTAAATCAAAAACGAACAAGTTCTCTGATTGGTCAAACATAGTTCCTACGCGCTTCAAAAATGATATTTTCACACGTAAAAATATCGTATTTTTTACTTGTGTTTAAATACGATTTTTCTCACTGGCCAAAAACTCTATATAACACTTATGTTTATATAATAAATGTAAAATCTGCATGAGACAACTGCATATTGCAGGGACCAAACACTGATGGTGGCATATGTTCAAAACACGTAATGATAAAGGCTCTTTCCTTTAGTATATTGGTTATTTATAATTAACTTAATTTATTTTATCAGAGAAGCACAAAGAAGGACCGCTAAGTATTTTATACAACTGTATTGAAAAGAAAACAAAGTTGAAAGTCTGGACGCGGAAGTTGAAAGGATTACGTGGAGTTTGCGTTGGATATCTGATCGCTTTCGATAAACACATGAATCTGGTAAGCTTTAATGTTGCATATGCAAATTTCACTAAGACTTTTTATTAATTAATATGATATACCCCGCCCCACACCCTAATAATTATTTTTGTAGCTGTAGCTGCAGTTGTAAAGCAACAACTTGTCCTGCCCTCCGGAAAATATACAACCTCCCCTGCGGATGAATCATTATTATTAACATCAGGCATAATTAAAATGTGTGAGTGTGCAGGCACATTTTGAATTTTTGCAGGCACATTTTAAAATGCTGACATTTTTACAATATTTAGGTCTCAAAATCTAAATAAGATGTGTTTTTGCAGGTACATTTTGAATTTTGCTCTCAGGCCCGAAAAAATGTTAATGAGGCCTGATTAACATGCTTTGTGTGAGAATAGACAATGTTTTTATCTGCAACGGTTCATCAAGCGATCATATATTTCTTTTATATGTACAGTTAGTTTGTAGTATGCAAGACATTTTTTCAGATGGTGGATTTCAAGCCCAAAGGCCACACAGGCCCTTTGTACGAAGTCAAAATTAATGAGTACTGGATAGCATGGAGAACAGTGAGATTTTCAAAATAATGAGATGGTAATTTGGGCATTCTGATCACTGGATCATGACTGGATGGCACAAGTGTTATGTAAATGGCTTACTGCGGCAGCAATCCAAGAATGGTTTAACTCTAAGAAGAATGGCAAGGACAGCTACATATACGAAGAAAGAATACGTATGATCAGCACTCATGTGACCTTATCAGCATTGGATGAAGGGCAAAGGCGAACATGGCACTGTTCTCTTTCATAAACGATGAAGAAATATTAAATCTTTCAAAAGAATACAAACGAAAATTCGTGTTGTTCAATTTGCACTTACATTATTTTGTCTCATTCTATTCATTCAGTTCCTCGTCTCTGTAGTTCAATGAATTCCTTCATAATTACTTGACATATCTATTAAATCCCTGAGCAAACCAGCCAAAGACTTCAAGCTAATTGCTACAAGTCCGAACAGATCTTGTTGCTACAAGTCCGAACAGATCTTGTTGACAAACAAGATGCGACATTTTTACATTGAGATTGATAACTTTTAACCTTTAAATGCTAATGCTAATCCACCTCAATCCCGGCTTCGTATAACTCGACCATTGGTAAGTTACCGTAACTATTGGCCTCATTTTCTCTCAGCATTCAGATCGAGCACTGCACAATAATCGCACGGGTTCGATTCGTAAATATAGTTCTATTTTTCGCAACTGTTACCTGTCTCAACTATCTACTATGGACTGCAAGAGAACATTGAAAATTTTCTGGAAATAATCAAGTAAATCCACACTTGCATGGACACTGTAACTATGTAACACTATAACAAGTCAAACTGGATGTCGTGCTGTATTTTACAGGAAAAAAATATTTCACTGAGAATCTTAAAATATAACATAAAACTAATGTAGATATAACATGCTTCAAGGGTTGATCCTAACTATCCTAAGGTAAATACAGATGCCAAAAAAGCTAGGGCACTAATAGGAGACACTATCAGGGAGATCCATGCTCCCCCAGAAATTTGTGAAAATCAGGTGTCCTAGATCGACAACATTTGTTACATCATTCTATAGTCTATACATTTATACACTCTCACACTATTAAGGTGGATGCACTTATAATTGCATTTCTGAGGTCATGGTTTGAATTTTCCTATGAATTTCTCCTCTTCATCTAAATTATTACAATTTTTCTTCTCTTTGGGACCAATGGGGGCATATAGTATTTCCCGCATTTCCGTCCAGGTATATGCTAACACCCAGTAGTTACTGGCGTCATTTTTCGTTCCAAGGCCATGATGGATGTTGATGAAATGTTTGCGATTGAAGAAGAAGTTGTGATGGATCCAGCAGAATCCTTGGCGGCGTCTTTGAAAAAAATTGAGAAAAAGAAAGAGAAAAAACGAAAATGGCGTAGACGGAAAAGAGAAAGATTAAGAAATGATGAAAGGATGGTGGGAGATAAGAATAATGGCAACGAAGGTCTTAACATCAACTTTAAAGCACAGGAATGTTCTGGTACTAATATGGGATTGTTTGAATCGAGTACTAGTACTAGTATGGAAATTGAAAATAGTAGGGCAAGTATTTCAGGAGAAATAGAAGGAAATTTGGACCGTCAATCGATAGAGAACTGGCTCCAAAGTGATTTGGGAAATGATTTAGACAATTCAAGTGATGATAGACTTAGGATGCGCCTCAAAGCAATGGAATGCTCTACTACTAATATAGGATTGCTTGGATCCACTGCGAGTATAGACACTGAAAACAATGAGAGGAACTCTTTCGCATTTGGTAGTGATGGTTTGGATGAAACTTTAGACCGTCGACCAAAAGAGGACAGCAGCCAAAATTATTTAAATAGTGAATGTTTTACGATGGAAAGGAAATCAAAGGGATGCTCTACTGGATTGTTTGAATCAAATGTGAATATAGACACTGAAGATAGTGAGCTGCAGATAAAGAAGAGAGAAAGATTAAGAGAAAAAGGAGAACGTACGATGAATGACGAAGGTGATGGAAAAGGTCTTACAATGGACATTAAAGAGAATGAATGCTCAACTACTATTAATCCTGCTACTATAACTGGGTTGCTTGAATCGAATATAAGTATAGTCGATGAAAATAGTGGGATAAACAGCTTAAAAAGCAATGGTGGTATTGCTGACAGTTTAAACTGCCAAGCGAACTATGCTGAGCGCGATTTCACGAACGATTTTGGCGACGAAAATATAGAAAATCAAAGTCTTAGAATGGGTGTAAAAGCAACAGAATACTCTTCTACAATATCTAATGTTGAATTGCTCGAATCTGATGTAAGTATGGAAACCGACAACAGCCAAATAAGTACTAAGGATATTTCGCAAAGCCATGATAGTATTGAGAAAAGATCAGGCCAGCAGCAAGTTGATGAGGATGTTCGACTTGATTTGAAAACAGATGTGGACAATGTGGGGAAAGAAAATGTAGACAGTTTAAGTCCTAAGATGGATATACAAGCAAAATCGTTGGACTTTGTGAATGAAAAGATTTCTGTTGATAACCAAGAATCTCAGAAACCACTTGGACATATTGAGACTGAAGGCGATGTATTCGTAGGGTATAAGGACGAAACATTAGTTGAGATATCGACAGGTGGAGACCAGACACAGGATTCTTGTAGCGATGGGGAAGATGGGAGCGCTAAGACGAGTCAAAGCTTTCGCAGTGGTGAGGAGGAAGGAGTAGTAGAACTGCTACAAGAAGAGAGCGATGGAAAGGATCTTTCTACAAACGACGAAGGCAACAAAGACGACAGTTTTGGAGAAGAAACAACAAGTAACGAGGTCACAATTTACAGTATTATGAAGAAAGTAAGAAGAACAGAAAGTGAACTTAAAGAAGCTGGATCCTTGCTGAGCAATGATAAAAATACCAACACCTATCCATATCAACCTTACTCGATATTACAAAGCAATGTTTTGTCTATGGAGGTGGATGAAGAACCTCAGAAGCCACTTGGACATATTGAGACTGAAGTCGATGTATTCGTAGGGTATAAGGACGAAACATTAGTTGAGATATCGATAGGTGGAGACCAGACACAGGATTCTTGTAGCGATGAGGAAGATAGAAGCGCTACGATGAGTCAAAGCTTTCGCAGTGGTGAGGAGGAAGGAGTAGTAGAACTGGTACAAGAAGAGAGCGATGGAAAGGATTTTTCTACAAACGACGAAGGCAACAAAGACGACAGTTTTGGAGACGAAACAACAAGTAACGAGGTCACAATTTACGGCATTATGAAGGAAGTAAAAAGAACAGAAAGTGAACTTAAAGAAGCTGGATCCTTGTTGAGCAATGATAGAAATACCAACACCTATCCATATCAGCCTTACTCAATATTACAAGGCAATGTTTTGGCTATGGAGGTGGATGAAGGGTCGCAGGACTCGGTTATGTTTGATTGGTCGCTTGATAGAGAGGGTGCAGCGATGGGTGTACAAGCAGTTACATTGCATCACAAGATAACGTATGGTGAGGAGATACGTGGTAGTATGAAACAGGTTTGCGGTATTGATAGCTTGGTGAAGGCTGTTGGGGATGGTGACGGTGATAGTAGTGGTGCTATTGGTGAGGATGGTGGTGGTAATGCTGAGGGTATTGGTGAGGATGTCGGTTATGATAATTATGGCAGCAACAGTGATGATATCGAGGTTGATTATGTGATGACTAAGGTTAGTGAAATGGATGATGATAGTTGTGATGGTAATAATGGTAACGGTGGTGATGGTAATAATGATAGTGAATATGTTGGTGATACTGATGAAAGTGATGGTGGTAATTATGAAGATGTTGGTTATTATGGTGATAGTGATGGTACTATTGCTATTGGTGGAGAAATGGTTGATAGTGCGACAAATAAGAATGATGAAAAGGCTGATTTTGGTGGTGGTAGTTGTGAAGATAATAATGTTGATGCTGATCAGCTTGGTGATGTTAATAATGGTAATGGTGATAAAGTTGATAATATCGATGATGGTGAAGATGGTATATGTGATGATGGTATTCTTGATCTTAGTAAAGGTACCAATGATCATTCTAATAGTCATGATGGTAATTATGGTTCTCGTGCTGTTGAAGGTACCAGCCATAATCACGACGATGGTACTGGTAATGAAAATGATGATGGTACATCTATTGTTGCCCATGGGAAAGGTACTGATAATGGTGCTGGTAGTCATGATGGTGATGGTAGTAGTAACATTGGAAATGGCAGCAATGATGGCGGCGATAGTGTAGGAGGCATTAGTATTGTCAAAGGTACTGATAATAATCCTAAGGAAAAAAGCATTGATGAAGGAAAACTGCGCTCGACAGTCAAGGGTGAAAGAGACAACGGCAGGGATGAAGAACACTCTGTGGCAGAGAAAACGGTGACAGAAATATTGACAGATGTTCCCCAGTCGGGAAATAGGGAAATAACAAAACAAGAGAATGTTGAGGAGAAAGAGGAAGGAGAACTGACCTCAAGTAGTGATGACGAGAATCTGGAAAAATGTGGGGACTCACGAAAGGACAAGAAAAAGCACAAAGCAGGTTTGGAGAAGGTTTTAGCCCCGAAATGTGACGAGAAGAAGTCAAACGTAAGGCTAAAAAGTACTGGAACAACTTCAAAGGAGATACAAGGAGATGGAGATAAAGAAAAGCGCAAGAGGAGGAATTCCATTTCTTGCGCGAGAGAAAGAAGTAGTGAGATAAAAGAGAAAATAAGTGATGAGAAAAGAGGACAAAAGTCTGTGAAAGAAAGACGGCGGAGTCTAGTTGAGAAAGGGATTGATCACGATGATCGTTCTTCAAAGAGAGCTACAAGTAAAGATAAAACTGAAGGCAGGAAAATATCTCTCAGTAAAGAAAGGAAAAGTGAGAAAGACCATATTAAAACGATTAATAAAAGACGAAGTTCAAGTACAAGTCAGAAACGTAATGTCACTGATATAGCGGACAAAACGGGTGATAGTTCTCCAAGGATAGTTGAAAGTAAAGACAATGCTAAAAGCAGAAAAGTATCTACTAGTAAGGGAAGGAAGCGTGAGAAAGACAATGTTAAAGCGATTAAGGAAAGACGAAGTTCAAGTACAAGTCAAAAACTTAATGCCACTGATATAGGGGACAATACGGATGATAGTTCTTCAAAGACAGTTGAAAGTAAAGACACTGCTAAAAGCTATAAAATATCTACTAGTAAAGGAAGGGAGCATGAGAAAGACAATGTTAAAGCGATTAAGGAAAGACGAAGTTCAAGTACAAGTCAAAAACGTAATGCCACCACTGATATAGGGGACAATACGGATGGTAGTTCTTCAAGGACAGTTGAAAATAAAGACACTGCTAAAAGCAGCAAAATGTCTGCTAGTAAAGGAAGAGAGCGTGAGAAAGACAATGTTCAAAGGATTAAGGAAAGACGAAGTTCAAGTACAAGTCAAAAACGTAATGTCACTGATATAGGGGACACGGATGATAGTTCTTCAAAGACAGTTGAAAATAAAGACACTGCTAAATGCAGCAAAATATCTACTAGTAAAGGAAGGGAGCTTGGGAAAGACAATGATAAAACGATTAAGGAAAGACGAAGTTCAAGTACAAGTCAAAAACGCAATGTCACTGATATAGGGGACAATACGGGTGATAGTTCTTCAAAGACAGTTGAAAGTAAAGACAATGCTAAAAGCAGCAAAATAAATACTAGTAAAGGAAGGGAGCTTGAGAAAGACAATGTTAAAACGATTAAGGAAAGACGACGTTCAAGTACAAGTGAAAAACGTTATGTCACTGAAAAGGAAGTCGATAAGGATAGTTCTTCACGGAAAATTGGAACGAAAGAAAACGCTGAAAATAGGAAATCGCTAAGGATACTAAGGAAAGAAAGTAGAAGTAAGGAAGATGATAATAAAACAATAGGGAAAAAACGAAATTCAACTACGGTTATAAAACTTGATACTTCATCGAGTTCTAGAGATTTAAGATCCAAAGATTCTTTGAGAAAATCTAAATCAATAACATCTAGTCACGATAAACGTTCTGATCTGAATGACTATGAAAAGAATGTCAATAAGACAGCAAATGACAACAGCCTGACGAAAAGTGAAAGTTGTGCAAAGCAACCAAAACAAATGGAAAAGGCTAAAGTGTCTGGTGATAAAAACAGTAGAGAAGACCAAATTCGTCATAACGAATCTGGAAGACGAGAAAGTAGAAGCAGTTCAGAATCTTACACCAGAAATTTATCAAGAAACAAAGAGAAAGAGTCGGACGATAAACACAAAACTCAGATTAGAAAATCTGGATATAACACTTCGCCGGTTGGAAGTACCTGTAAAAGAACAACGCGACAAAGCAGCACTAGTTTGAAATCTTCCAGCAAACGTTTATCGAAAAGTAGTGAGGAACTGATGAATACATCCAGTGAAACGCAAAGTAAAGGAAAAAGCGTTGAACCAATTAGGAACATTTCTAAAGATAGCAGTAAAGGAAGTGATGGAAAGAATGTCAGGGAAAAATCATCCGTTACAGAAGTCAGGCGTAGTTCTCGTGTATCGGATAAGAAAAAGAATATCGGTGATCAGGAAGTAACAAAGAAAGATTCGAAGAGGGAAATCCCAAAAACGAAAGCCAAAACAGATGCCAAGAAGACAACATCGGGAAAGAAGACAGACTTAGTAAGACACGAGGATCGTAGTTTAAAAAGTCAGGATAATTCGTCCGTAAAACAAGAGAAAGGTGATGCTTGTGGAACTGAAAAAGCAGCAGGGAAGGAAGAAAACTTGGAAAAGAATGTGAAGGAAAAGGTTACTTGTAAAAATGAAGATTTCAGTTTGAAAAGTGCAGATAAATCAACCGTGAAACGGAAGGAGTCTGGCTTAATGAAATATGGTAACTGTGGAACTGGGCAGACGGCAGGAAAGAAAGGTTCAATCAAGGAAGACAGTTTGAAAAAGAATGTGAAGGAAAATGTTACTTGTAGTAACAATGATAATAAATTAGAACCGTACAAGAAAGGACAATCTGTTTCAAAGAAATCGGACAATGAACGCAGCGATGAAAGGAAGTCAGCGAGAAATGCTGCGAAGGAAAAGAGCTTTTCCAGAGACGAAAAGCCTCCAGAAGAACAGAAAAAGAAATTAGAAAATGATGAAACTGATGCAAAGAGAACTCAGAAGAACATTAATATTACAAGGAACATCAGTGAAGAATGTAGGAATAACAAAATTAATACAACTAAAAGTTTGGAAAGTGGTAAAGAAAAGATCTGCAATTCGAGTGAAGCAACCCAAAAGAAGAACAATGGTTCAGTCAAAGAGAAAGATGGTAGTTTGAAAACCTCGGAATCGTCTAAAAGTAGGGTAGCACAGAAAGTGAAGGCTGAAACGCTTACAGGCAAAGAAGCTGTGGCTAAAAAGAAGCTAACGGTAGAAGAATATAAAAATAAGAAGAGGTCGGAAAGTAAAGATTGGTTGAAAAATGAAGCGAACAAAACAAGTAAAACTGTTAACGACAAATCTGAGAAATCAACACAACCTAAAACATTAAAAGAGTCTGAAAAATTACAACAGCCGAGGAAATCAAGATCTCAAAAACAGATCTACAAAGGTGATGAAGAAAAATTGTCGCGCAAAAGAAAGAGGGAAGATACGCCAGTTCGACCCCAAAAGGTCAGAAAAACTAAGAATGTGGACACAAACAAGGAAAGTGTTAAATTTGTTAAGACTAAAGAGGCGAAGCTACCGGGAAATGTTGTTACTGTGCGTATCTTAAAAGTAGAGCGAGGCAAAGCATTGGTGTTAAAAAGACGGCATGTTAATCAGTTGTTTATAAGAGGGGATAATATTATAATGGTTGCTCATGAAAATGTTGGGACGACCGAAGATAAAGTTGTGAAAACAAAAGTTACAGCTGTTCCTGATTGATCGATTAATCGATTATATATTTTGGCAATCGATTATTCTTAACACTAATCGTATCACAGTGATACAGAGCTTACAGTGATCACTCGCAGATGTTGCTTTAAAAATATTTTGAGAGTAAAAATCAGACGTATAATCTGTCTTTGCAATGTGAATAAGTCTATATAATCTTGTTTTTGGTTAGTTATCTGTTTTACATGGCTATACGGCGGCACTTCCCTTGCGATAGTAACTCCTAGTTCTCAACAAGTACAGCCATGCATAGCGTGATACCTGGGCTACATGATCCTGGATAGCTCTCTTTCCCGATTGAGAAAAATCACGAGGGGGTGGTATTGTCGATATGATCACATGACAAACGCGAAGCATTTCATTGGCTGTCAAATAATAGGTTTAAAACATGCCCGTGTCTAGATTTATTCAATATTGGATTAATCGATTGTTGATTACGATTTAAGCGATTACGATGGGAGCAGCTGTAACAAATGTCAATACATCAGTAACATGTACTGGCCTTGTTATTTAAAATAATACACCTATTATGTGATGCTTGTGATCAAGTTTATTTTTATAACAAATGTCTTGTATTTAATTGTTTATTTATTTATTTCTGTTGTATATTTTTGTACGAGTGTTTTATGACCTTTCCTACTCACACAAGCGACATAAGAAAATGCATAGTTATTTTATTCTACACACTAAATTATTTTGAAGAAAAAGCTGTTGTGTATTGTCCACTGTATGACTGAATTCGGTACCGTTTGAGGAGATTAAAACATCCCATAGGCCATACCTGTGGCGGTGTTAAAAGCTCTGATTAAAAGCGGCTTTCTGATTGGTTCCGAGTAGGTGAGTTTTTTCGAACTCACCTGCCCTTCGTTGCCATCCGCGTCGATAACAATGGCGAACAAGATTTGGCCGATAAACCTGAACTTTAAAGAACTTTTTTCGGTGACTAACCTACTGAGACTGAAGAAAAACCAAAGAAAAAAAGATGGAATGAAGGCAATCACGACGTAGATAAAGAAATATTAAGAGCCCAATGATTGTTTGGTCCGGCGAGAAAATGTTGACAATTCGATTAGTTCATCTAAAATATTTAAAAGCAAAACGGAAATGGAGAATTACGAGAAAAAAAAGCGAAAACGGAAATGAAGAATTACGTAGATCATAAGAGCACATCTTTAATTAATTAAGAATTGAAAAGGTACTATGTTTGCGAAATATAGTGTGAGACGCAAGTACTAAGTTGAATTTTTCTTCGCATATGAATTTGATTTGGTATTAGTGCGGTGTGTCGTATGGGATAAAAACCAAACATACTTGCAGGGACGTCCAGCCTCCCTTGGTGCGTCAATCCCGGACGAACCTCTCGGCAAGTATGTTTGTCAGTACAGCTTTATGTACTAGTTGAAACATGAGTATATCTTTAGGTCTGATAAAACACGCATTGCGAATGTTTTAAATTGCTTCAAAAACGATCGATCTAGTAAGTTCATTGCCATTGGCGAAGTAGTTTTCAAAAAATATTTCTAGAAAATCAAAGTTAAAGTTTATGTAAATCATGGGAAATCTCTATCACAAATAAAGATACGACACGCTTCTGATTTTTCTTTGTGTTTACTATGAATTGTTAATGAGTTTTTTGAAGGTTAAAAACATTTCGGCTGGGCAAACTTGTAGTACTCTGTGCGCCCTGTGGCCTCTATTCACTATTGGAATATTGCCAAAGCGTCCTACTTTCCAAAAGGGTGTTTTTGTCACTATTAATTTTTTGGAAAGGTTAAGAAAAGGTGCAACAGTTTAGAATTATCACCTTTTGAGGATTATTGTTGGAGGGAAAAAAGTTCCCTTATTAATTAAAAGGCCATGGTCATTTGAAAATGAAATTCGTGTGCATGATGTCACGAACATGTATAATGTTTATTGCGTTTTTCTTTCATTTTCTTTTATTGGCCGCATTCAAGTAGCGAAATTGAGATTCAAAATGGTTTCATTAGACTACGTTGATACTACACCGACAGAATTTACGTATGTGTTACACTATATACGCCAGTTTGTTTCCAAATTAAATTACCACTCATGCAAACCCAAAATATCTCAAAATTCATCAGGCTATTATGGTCTGTAAGTCGATAAATGGTTTGGCTCCTGAATATCTTCGTTCAAAATTTGTTGATCGTAGCTGTGTTTCGGGTTATTCTCTTAGGGACACTGTTGGCAAACTTGCTGTTCCTTTTCCTCGTACTAACTACCTAAGAAATTCCTTTAGTTATAGTGGTGGTGGTAGTAACATGGAACAGCCTTCCTATGTTGAGTTGAGTTGAGTTGAGTTGAGTTGAGTTGAGGCAAGCTAATTCTCTAAATTCGTTTCGATCTGGCTGTAATAAATTTCTCTCTTCTCGATCGTAATACCTAATTAATGCACGGCACTCATGTAAAGCAGGTTTTTCTTTTGCCATTTCTTAGTATGTATTTATATATTGTGTTATTTATATTGTAAGTATAGTGTGTTATTAGTTTTATGCATAATTCTGTATATATATATATATATATATATATATATATATATATATATATATATATATATATATATATATATATATATATATATATATATATATATATATATATATATATATATATATATATATATATATATATATATATATAATTTGTTTTGTTGTAGTAGATAATAAAGTGCTCAACACTAATACAAAAGTAGAGCAAGATATATTACACCCGTTTTCAAAATTACGCGACCAAGGACGAAAATGCTAGAGTTGACATGTCAGTTTTATGTCATTCGGTCACGAAGTTTAAACTTCGAGTTTTGCGGTTCCTTGTCGATGTATATGCTTTGTATGCTTTATATAAACATGCTTACAATGATTTTCAAGATATTTTAGTGAGAATTATTGCAAAATTTAAGCACAAACAAAATCATAACATATCGTTATAGTCTAGCGCGCGTGTTTTATACGGACAGCTAAATCTTTAAAAGTTATTCACGGCACATATTTCTGTTGTGATGGTTTGTATTGTGCTTTAGATGGTATATCTAAGTTATCTAGCTCATTTTTGTTCAGTTTTGGTATTAAATACGATTTAAAATGTCTTTTGCCAGTTTGTTTACGTTTGCTATTTTTAGCAGTTTTTGTGACAAAAAATCATATATATGTATGTAATCTTAATCCTGACGAGTACACCGTGGATAAATAAAGTTGCCTTACCTTACCTTACCTTAAATAGAGCAAAGAAATTTAAACGAAAAGCATTCGAATTTACTGGGTTTGAGACCTGAGATGCTTGGTTTGCAAACGGTACAAAAAAGTAACGGCGTTTGTGTTCACACGAAGCCGCCAAGCACTTCGTTTTCATCGCGCTCCGTTTTGAAACCGTGCTCAAATCGTCACGGCGAAAGTGACGTTTTCAAACAATTTCGCTCGGGCTTTTTGCTTAAAAACATTTCTGCCGGGCAAGCTTGCGGTGGAGCTTATTTAATTATTCATTTCTTTTCTACGAAATCAGGAATGTCACTGCGCGAATAGCCGTCGTCGTCACGTTGCCGCCCTACTTCATACTTGCGGTCCCTGAATGTCACATGGTTAAAAAAAAGATAGTCCAACTTCGACGTCATATCGTGCGTTAATGAACACGTCATAGACATAGGTTTTCTTTTTCGTAGCTATCAAATGACACCTTTATGGAATGATTGCGATAGAAAAAAAAACAAATGCGATCTGAGTTTAAATAAAGTGATCGGTTGAATTCGCATTTTCCCACCTTTGGGATTCTTCCAATTTTCGAACATTTGTCCAAATGTTTGTTGCCCATTTGGGAAACGTATGCCAGTGTGAGTCCAGTCTGTCAGCTTCCTGTGTTGTAAAATGTATGTTTTAGTCGCTCAATTTTGATGTGAAATGGCGAGTAAAAGTTTATCAAAACTTGATCTTACACATTTGGGACTCATATGCCAGTGTGAGTCAAGTCTACAAGCTTCCAGTGTTGTAATATGTTTAGCCATTCAATTTCGATGTAAAATTACGAGTACAAGTTGATGCTTGCACATGAATGCGTTGCGCCATAGGCAAGGGACTTTCAAATTTGAATCCCAAATGAGAATGATTTCAGCGCTCAGACAATAGCTTTATGCACTTCCAAACGGTGGAGCGATTTCGAACGGCATTTTAAAGTCGGATCGTATTTGGCTATTTTTTAATTGATCGCAACGATACCAGAAATGTAGCATTCGACAACTAAAAGCTGTGAAAAAAGTAAATTTATGAACGTGAAAAAAGAAAATTTATAAACGTAATATATAATGCGCGATTACATGCCAAGTTGATTCCCCCCCCCTGTCGCCAAAAAAGTTTCGGTCAGTGTACCATTTTAGGGGTAAAAAAAATTTTCCGGAGTAAAAATTTTTCCGGACGAGTACGTTGCTATTGCTTTCCAGGGACTTTTTATCTCATTTTTTTATGCCAAATTTCGTTACTTAGCCCAAAAAAACAGATATCTTGTCCTTTGCGCGGAAATATTTAACACACAAAAAAGACTGGGGCCCAACAAAAATTTTTCAGGGGCCCCCAGCACCTCGGGGCAATATGCCCCCCCCCCCCCTCTCGGCGGCCCTGACACCCATGCATATAGCCAAACACAAAATGACGTAGTTTTCTCAAGGATGCATATGTTATCACTGTTAATCTTAAACTCAGTTAATTTTCTTGGAAAGGTTAAAAAAGATTTAGAATTATCACCTTTTGAGGATTATTGTTGGGGTAAAAGTAAATATCCTTATTAATTTAAATTAAATTAAGAGGCCATGGTCAATTAATTCTTAGGCCATGGTCAAACCATCAATCGTCCACAAACATACTATATATTGACTTTTTGAAATCATTCCCCCCTCCCCTTATTTCAATGTTGAAAGGCTACAAAATGAAGACTATATATATCTTTCAAAATCGGGAACATAACATGACACTAGAGGTGAGACTGTCCCATTTGATACTTAACAAATATAAAACATTTTCCGTGTTGATATACAGTTATATCAACACGAGTGGGAATTGGGAAAACGAGAAATTGTGTGGCTTCACACAATTTCGAGTTTTTCCAATTTCCACGAGTGTTGATATAACTATATATCAAAACGAAATAATGTTTTATATTTTTTTTATAATATAGCACAAAGAAATATAAAGAAAGAAATTTTCCGTGTTGACAATGAGTTATATCAACACGGCTCTTAGCCAATCAGCGTTCAGAATTTACAAATGCTATATTATAATATAATATAAAATAAATGGATGGGAAACAGCTGACGCAAGCAGACTCAACCTCGTCCCCAGGGCCTATTGAGGAAGGAGCCTTCGCCTCCTTCCTGAAAAGGCCCTGGGGACGAGGTTGAAGCAGACTTGGCTTATCCGAACTCTCGTGATGCAATTAACTGTATTAGAGTACTTAAAGTGCCTATATCATGGTCAAGATTATTTCCATTACTCTATTTAGGCCTAAGTAGCATTCTAAGAACATTTGCAATATACTTCTAATTCAGACTTGGCTTATCCGAACTCTCGTGATGCAACTAACTGTATTGGAGTACTTAAAGTGCCTATATCATGGTCAGGATTATTTCGATTAATACTGTATTTCAGTAGACTAAGTAGCATTCTAAGAACATTTGCAATATACTTCTAATTCAGACTTGGCTTATCCGAACTCTCGTGATGCAACTAACTGTATTGGAGTACTTAAAGTGCCTATATCATGGTCAGGATTATTTCGATTAATACTGTATTTCAGTAGACTAAGTAGCATTCTAAGAACATTTGCAATATACTTCTAATTCAGACTTGGCTTATCCGAACTCTCGTGATGCAACTAACTGTATTGGAGTACTTAAAGTGCCTATATCATGGTCAGGATTATTTCGATTAATACTGTATTTCAGTAGACTAAGTAGCATTCTAAGAACCTTTGCAATATACTTTATAATTCAGACTTGGCTTATCCGAACTCTCGTGATGCAACTAACTGTATTAGAGTACTTAAAGTGCCTATATCATGGTCAAGATTATTTCGATTACTCTATTTAAGTAGCATTCTGAGAACTTTTGCAATATATTTTATAATTCGAAAAAAAAACTGCTGCAAGAATGCAACAGTGACGTAACTGGGAAGAAGCCAAAATATTTGATACGTGTTTCGTGCCAAAATCGATTTTAAATGCGGTCTTGTTTCGATTAATATATATTTTACCCAACCAAAGTTTCAACCGAATCCGGCATGAACTTCAAAATCTTGCCATTAAACAGTTATTGAATTCCGATTTCGTTTGATCCGCTCCGACAAAAGTGATTAACCGAGGTATTTCAACCATACGAGGCCAGAAAAACGCATTCCATGCTCGTAAATTAAACACTTGATATCCTGAAGCGTTGTTTTTAGGATTTGTCGAGCGTTTCTTGGCTTGGCATGAATTTGGTAATCGGCACTTGAATTGAGACCATTATCGTGAAGATTTATGGCCAGTTACCAATTTGCTATTTCGGGATAAAATTTTGGCGAGGTGACCTTTTGATAAACAAATGCCAATAAAAGGCTTGGCTGACACTCCTGAAACATTAGACTGTTTAGGATTATTTCAGATTTCAAATAGCTTTATATAGATGGATAGAATGCCACCTGAATGTGACAAGCATGTTTGGATCCAGGTAATTCAGACATAAACTACGACAGCTTATTGTATACCGTTGTAATTCAGCCTCTTGGCTGCAAGATCGGTTTTTGAATAAATTGTAATTGTAATTGTATAGTGCTACCTACTGACTGGGCCGAGGACTGAGCCCAAGTTCAGACACAAACCACAACAGCTTATTGTAGAATACTACCTACACTGGACAACCACGTTGAAATATCTTTAATTTTTCAGGTAGTTCAGACACAAATCACGACAACTTATTGTAGAATACTACCTATTCACTGGACAACCACATTTGACTGAGATATCTTTTTCAGGTATAGTTCCAATCTCGTACCCAGAGCAATGCCTGTGCGCGGGCTAGGATGGCATTGGCTCTGACAACCGGAACCCCTAAATTTAGGGGTTCCGGTTCTTTGTCGGCATGCACGATTGATAAACGTTAAACCAATCACAGCACAGGAAAAATTCAATTTCCCCAGAGCCAATGCCATCCTAGCCCGCGCACAGGCATTGCTCTGGGTACAAGATTGGTATAGTTCAGACGCAAACCACGGCAGCTTATTGTAGAATACTACCTACACTGGACCACCACGTTTAAGATATCTTTTTCAGGTAGTTCAGACAGACACTTGAGCTATATACGGCCTATGAGTTTTAAATTGAAAAAAAAAACGAAGTTTGTCCAAGCAATTGCTGAGTCATTCAATAACTAATCACTTTTTGATCGGTGAAATGTTAAATGTACGATTTTAAAATTCCAGCTTCGCCTAAGCCGGTTTCATGACACAGTGGCACGCAATTAATGCTATAATTATCATTAATTATCGAAATTCCAACAAGATGTAATCTCATGAAATATTATATACATATGCCGTCCTCAAATTCCAATCGATATGGGAAATTGTTTTGCAATAGTCATACACAGCCGTTTGCCTGACTAAAGATTAACAGGCAATTTTTCTTTTTTCCCCATTACCTTCTAGTTCGTATAGTTATCTACCTTCCCAAATGTGTCTGGCGGTTAAGAAGCAGCAATTACTGAATAATGGTAAAAAATGTCAATTGAAATACAATTATCAATGACAATGGTGCTTTAAAATCGACGCCAAAGGATGTGTAAAACTTACTAAACTTCAGACACCATTTTCTCTTTGACTTGCCATCTAAAATCTCTTCTTTTTTAGCGCTATTTTAAAGATGAAACATTACGAATATACCTGTTTAAAATACTTCGACAGCCATTACGACACGAGAATATTCCCCACACTTGAGCCCCCGCTGTTCGCATAAAAGCAACAATGCACAAAAGCACTAGATATTTAGCAGCAAATTATTTATCATCACAAATCAACAACTGTACTGTAGTTGCCAATTCATATTTTACAATTGTGCGTGCTAATAATTTTAACATTAATAGACCTAGCTATTCTCTAAATAAATACGCAGTAAATAAAATTAAGAAGCAGTTGATATACTATTCACAGTCACGTTCATACTATTGTTCCTTAAGTGTTTATATGTCTGTTCGCAAATTCTTCTCAGTATATAATGTCAGCAATTCATATCTTCAAATTTGCATGTAACTTCACATCTTCACCCATGACCCGTCCGGAAACTTAGTCCTTTCTAAAAGCGACCACAATTTTGGCACGCGCAGTGCGTCGCGCTTGGAACTTTGACGGTGATCTTGCCTGTATTACAGTTTAATTCCACGCTTACATAAGTCTGAGCGGTTGGCGTGCAACACTTGCAGTCGTTCCAGAAGAACGGGTAGTGATCGATAGGTATTTCTTTTGAAGGACATTTTCCTAAACACGCTTTTACTTTGATACGCTCGGTTGTACAGCCTCCCCTTGACACATCTTGATCATAATCTCTCGCATAGCACAACAAGGCTTCGACTCTTATTAACGATGCAAATATTACCAATGCAAAAAGCATATAAACATTGTATAAACGTGCCATCTCTTCTACGAAATATCTATAAACGCTTATTTCTGGTGTTTTCCCAAACAGATGGTTCGCAGACAGTTTCGCTTAACCTTTATGGTTTAACAACTCCGTTTTATATCCGATATTTATTACGAAATCTGTCAACAACGGATGCTGACAATGTTTGAAAAAAAACCCCACGGTTTGAAGCTCTACTCAGGCTTGACTGCGAAGGCGGGTAAATTGATATATGAGATAAGCCTGAACTTTACTATCGCCATTTCAAACGTGACTTGTACGCTGTCATCCTGACTGGTTATGAAATATTACCTATAGGATTTTGATTGAGTACAGTTTTTATTGATTGTATGTAAAAGTATTAATAAGACTTTCAAACACTCATTAATAATTCATAAGCTTATTGACAAATCATGTCAACCATAATATGTCACGTGCCGTTGCTATAAACCTGATAAAACACTCCTAATTAGTATTCTTTATATAAAGAATACTAATAAGGCAGGATCTATTGTAGTCGTGTACTCATTAGTATTCTTTATATAAAGAATACTAATAAGGCAGTAAATCTATTGAATTTGTAGTCGTGTTTGAAGTACTATTTAAAAAACGAGCAGGAGTGTTTTATTATGTTTAAAGCCACGAGCGCGCAGCGCGAGTGGCTTTAGACCTATTAAAACACTCCTGCTCGTTTATTAAACAGTACTTAAAATGGCCAAAACGTAGGTGGTAGACTTGTTTCGTTCCTGGTATAGGTGCAGCCAAAAAGACTTATTAAATTAATACCTTCCCACGAGAACCAAATTGGGTAAAGAGACTGAAACCCACCCCGAGCTCTAATTTGGCTGAATCATTGATTGGAAATGCCCAAAGATTAATTATTTTAATATGACAAAAGTAAACTAACTTTATTTATACTGAATAGCTCTATCAGTTTTAAACTGTTCTCTCTAGAGATCCAGTAAAAGTCATCTCTTGATGATCCGGTGTTTAATAACTCTACAGGAGGAAACCTAAACTAAACTAACTTTATTTATACTGGATATAGCTCTATCAGTTCTAAACTGTTCTTCCTAGAGGTCCAGTAAGGATCATCTCTTATTGATCCAGTGTTATTATAGGAGGACACTTAAACTAAACTAACTTTATTTATACTGGATAGCTCTATCAGTTCTGAACTCTTCTTAGAGGTCCAGTAAGGATCATCTCTTAGAGATATACTATATACTGAGCCAAGGATTCGAGCCTCCATCTCTTATTGATCCAGTGTTATTACAAGAAGAAACCTAAACTAAACTAGCTTTATTTATACTGGATAGTTCTATCAGTTCTAAACTGTTCTTCCTAGAGGTCCAAACTAACAGGAGGAAACCTAAACTAAACTAATTTTACTTTATACTGAATAATCATGGTCATACTCGAAGCCATCTTCGCACGTGCAACTGGCTGCTTACAGCGTGGGTGTTCAATAATTCAATTCATTGTGCCCAAACAACCAATCGGAGTTCAGAAAATTTACAGCAATGATGTGCGTGTAATAATATTTTCGACAGTCATCTTCTAATCTACGAACACTAAATATACAGGAAAATCAAGAACAAATTACTTCTATGTTACTATAAAGTGCGTTTGTCAATTTAGAATCAGTTAAAATCTCTACAAATCCTTCTCAAAACATTGGGCAACCATCGTGTTTGTATCTCGACTAATCTTCGGCTATCTCACTATTCATTTGCACGAGAGGCAGGCACATTTCGTAACGCTGGGCACGGTCAGGTTAACATTGCCAGAACTACACGTGAATGTTATGTCTTGTGTTGTTATATTTCCAGCCGATTTACAGCAATTACATTGTCGCAGAACGAACGGAGAACGTTCCAAATGCACTTCTTCCGAGTTACACGTTCCTCTGCACGCTTGAACGATGAATTTCATTTGGCAGCCATCATTGCGCTTTACTGTACGTTCAAGATTCTGCACACGGCAAGCCTTGCGCTGTGCGTCGATTCTCACTGGCGACGCCAATAATACCAATGCGCAAATGAGGTACACACCATTAAAAACTCTGATCTCCATTTGCTGAGCGGTAGTGCAGCACTGTCCTACTCCTACTGAATTTCGAGTTTAGTAGCTGGTCTTCCAAATTCAATAGTGGCTCGAAGGCAGTTTATACCAGCTTCTTCGGTTGCTTCGTAGTATTTATACCTTGTTTATGAACTCAAAGCGGGCGTGGACTGCATCCCCTCGGGGTTTGCATAAATCGCGCTCAAATGCATGCCAAGCAGGTCATGGCCACGAAGGGTCATACAAATGCATGTACTAGAAATCCAAGGTCTATCAACGACGGATGTGGACACGTGATTACACGAGGGCTTATTCTCTATCAACATCGGACGCGATTACACGAAGGCTTAATATGTCTTTGTATGTTCGGTAGGTTTCCAGACAATAAATTTCGTTTTTTTTTTGAAAACTCCACATTTTCGAACCGAAAGCACGCTTCTTTATCAATGGTTTGTCAAATACAAATGAAGAAACATGGTGATTTCTACAAAACCAAAGTATCAAACTTGGTGTGCGCGGTTGGGGATTAGCATAAGCTCGTGGCGTTAGAATGTATGGTTCGCGCAGATAGAATCACATGTCAGATCACCTTCAGTCTACTAGCTATGAAGAATTTAATAAACGATTGCTTATAAGTGTGATAAGCTTGCTATCCTTATAAGCTTGTGAAATGTGAAAAAAATTGATTTTAATCACAATTTTAGCACAATTGATCCAATTTTCAATATATTTGACCTTCAGAGTTTTTTTAAAATTAATATTTATTATCAGGAATCACACAAAGTGAATTAACAAAATGAATTAAAGTTCCTGAACTAAATAAACAAATTTACAACGAAGACCTGTATATACTACATAAGTCATAACTATGAGAAATATTTAAAAATTATACGAGGGAAAGTTCAAAGATTGCTAAAAAATTTCTCCCGAATGTAGAAATACTGCTAGAGAGTTTTGTCTCAGTTCTGTCCAAGTTTTTCCAGTCTGTTATGGCCTGATAAGCGAGTCTTCGCTTCCCCCAATTCCTTGACACTTTAGGTGGCCTTAAAAATTGTCCCTATATGGCATATTCGGTTGTGTCAGTATTTCTCTGTTCGCTAGCTCTTCGAAGTTCAAATCCATGTGAGGTATTTAGACACTTAAAAACAAATAAGTATCTATATGATACAATCCGCTATATGTTGCTCAAGAGGGGTGCAGCCTAAAGTGTCTAATGACTAATGTTTCTCCGATAAACAATTTGACTTTTTGAAATGTTTTTTCACTCTGAAAGTACATTACGTAATCTCCAACGGTGTGTAGCTATATTTTTATTTTTTTAAACTTCGTAGGCTATTACGTACTCCATATGTTTTGATAAGAGGCAGTGATCATAATGTGATGCAGGATGTCCATAACAGTCGTTATTTGCATAACTGCCAATATTTGGAATCAGTTACCACATTCTGCCAAGTCGTTATCTGAATTTAGAAACCAGATTAATCAATCTGATTTACTTGGCTTGTCAATGTTTATGTGCACCAGCATTTAATATTAGTATATAGATTATTGAAGTTTTTTTATTGGCAGTGAGCTCGATTGAAACAATATTTGTAGTGTAGATGGAAATTGTCAGGTGGAAACAAGCCCGTAGCTGACTCTCAATTTCTGAGGGGGCACTGCAGAAAGAATGTAACAGAGGGGTTGGGAAGATTTTGACTTTCGTGCTAGCAGCTATAGTTTTCCTTTCCAGCTCAGAAAAATTGGGATCGAACGCGGGAACGTTCTTCTACACTGTAAAAGTATACTTGTGCTCAATTTTGTGAGTCTTTAAAGTTCTGTATAGGGTTAGTTCAGCCGTCTGCTATCTAGCCTAGCTTCTAACAATGAGGTTATTTATTTTAGGCCACAAGCAATCTATTTTCATACAAAAATTGACAAAATTTTCATACAAAAGGTGTATGGTATTGTAATGCATGTGATTTTATTGACCCAGCCCTGCTATCATGGAATATTACAAATTCATAATTTTGATTGGTCCCTCAACCATTGATATAATCCATGGTAAAGAAAAAAACAAAACAAAATTACAAATCACGCACTATCTCTGGATATTTTTATCTAAATTAATACAAAAATATAAAATTAACCTCAGCATATAGTAAGAAATTAGGCTACGCCTTTGTTGTCTTTGTTGGCTTCTATATGACACTGCGTTGTCTATTTTTTTTAAATGGCAAAAAATGTGGAATAAGGGAGGGGGGGGGCATAATTTCAATTTTATGGAAATGGACAGCTGCGAAAAATGCAACTTTAGGTTTATAGAGCTCGACAACTGGCCTCTGTAGCTCTGTTGATTAGAGCGCTGCACCGGAATCGCAGGGCCCGACAGGTTCCGGATTTCTGCCTGGGACCTAAAGTTGCATTTTTCGCAGCTGTTCCACCATCAAATACAGATTATTTAACAATTATTCGCCGAAAGCGAGGTGATTATCGGTGAATAAAAACCGAGACGAAGTCGAGGTTTTTATTCACGATAATCACCGAGCCTGAGGTGAATAATTGTTTTAGTATAATTTGATACGTGATTATTTGGAAAAGAATGAGCAGTACACATTTCTTCGTCATTTAATTGATAAAACGGCTTTTGAAAATCACTTAGGTGATTATCGCGTAATAATCACCTCAACGGCAACCAATCAGCGTGGAGAATTTTCAATAATCACCTATGTAATTATACTAATATTTATTAACATTACTTCACTTTTCATAGTGCCAAAAAATAAGAAAGCTATAGATCGATATGGATACAACTACGTAAAAACTAGAAGGAGGACTTCGACATTTCTGAGTTCTGCTCAGGTATTTTCATGATCAGGTATCCCTATCTTATGACGTAATTATGATACAACATATCTCAAATGACAGATGAGGAATCTCAATCTTCTTGCTTTCCTCAGAAGAGCTGCAACCAGTTACTGAATCTTTACCGAAAACTATGGGACAATGTACTGCACTGAATTTCACATCGTCTCATAGACCAAACGCTTACGAGCGAAAAAAAAAATGAGTCGGCCGGTGTAAGGACACAGTGTTTTATCCATTAACACTTTACATTATACTTTTAGAGTCTTTAGACCTTTTGATGAAAACGTTATTGATTCTATAAAAACATTGCACAGGTTAATGTCATTTCAGAAAAGAACCTGAGCGTTTTACCATTTTAAATGTGTCATTGACAAAATACCGCCTTTTCATTGTTTTGAAAACCCAATATATTGTTCTTCATAGACATTCAAAGGAATTCCTTGCGCTAACATTCCTTTGAATGTCTATAATATGATCTAGCATATAAGTAGAGCCTGGCACAAACATACTTATATTTAGTAATTTTACTGTAGTATCCAATCGAAACGTAATGTCAATTTTACACAATAACAACAACAATCTATAAATAGATAAAACTACTAAATATATCATGCCCAGATAGGGACTGATTTGTATCTTATCTATCCGCATTAAAAAACGGACCTGCACTGTATCTTGTAGTTGCTCGAAATGGCATATGTTAATCTCCTGTTGGCGTGATTATCGAATGACATCCAATAAAAAGCTGTTAAAAATATCCTTAAGTCAGTTGTTTTTCGCATACTGACCGTGTCACAAATGATCAATGTGACCGCACAGCACGCATCAATCAACCATCATGAAAGCGTAAATTATGCTAAATTTTGACGCGGTATTCTGATTGGCTCATGCCCAATCAAATTCATTAATTCTTCAAGGGCGAAAAACACAACATGGCGGAAAAAAGTGAAAGAAACAATTTTTGTACAAAATTGCCCTTTTTAACTGTTGGGTTTTCTCAATGACAATTCCACTTTAAGTGCTTCTAATCACAGTAGAAAAATACGGGTTCTATCCTAAAAAAAATTAATCCGTATTGGAAGATGGGTTCAAGATGCAAAACTCTATTTCATTGCCTAATCATTGGTGCCAAGGTAAGCTGAAATATTTAAGTTTATTAAATTTGATTTGTTTTGCTTTATTTAATATGAACTTATCAGGGGCTTGTTTTGTTGTTTTGTTTAAATAAACGTAATATATTCCACAAAACCAAACAAATTATTATATTTGTTTTGTTTTGTTTTGTTTTAATTGTTTTCTTTACACCTGATCAAAAGATTTTGTTTCTTAATTTAAAATAGCTTAGCTAATACACTTTGTACAGGACTGAGGACTCCGGGATTTTTTCTGAATTTTTATAGCAGACGTACTAGAACATGACGAAAATTTAATAAAATTTACCACAATGTTTTTAGTATTGTCTATTATCATACAAATACGCTTTTAAACAGATTTCCTTAAAATGGTGAGTTTATTATAACTGTGTAAAAACATAAAAAAGTGTGTGACAAATCTTGACATTGGTCAGGTTTGACGTTTTTATGGTGTTATGTATATAACAAGGTGTAATGGCTGTTTTTCCCCCCAATCTTTCAAAGGCTGTTTAATCATATGCCTGTATATGTGTGTGACTAAGTTGTTATTAAATAAGCCTCAAGATATACTTGAACTGAAGTTCAAGGTCAGTTTTATTTATTGCTCATTATATGCACCATTAGGCCACTCCAAATTAGACTTTAGTTTCCTGTCCGGCCCTTATGTCAAATTACAGGCAGGTGGGTGATCCGTTCCGATTATGGTGTTGAAAGAATCTAGATGACCTATTATTTCATGAAATAGATATAGGTGTTTTAAATATGACCATTCAGCCATACGTTTCTACGCAATGTTTTGGATTTTTTATCGTTTTTGTTTGTGCGGCACTCGTTTGTTCCTCCCACATTATCATGTCATACGGTGTATCTTAAACTGAACAGACAATGGCAAGATCTCATCTATTTGTTAAATATAGATAATTGGGGCGTTTAATAGAGAACGGCATCTATTACAAAGTTTTGCTTTGAGCCTTTGATCGACCCAAACATCTATATTGAATGCACAAAAAAAAATGCACTAGAAATAGTATA